TCTATATTTACATTAGCCAATAATACAATTTTGACCAGTAGATAAAAAAAATATTATTTGCTTCGACGGTTCCGGGTCCATGCTGGACCCGATCCGGTTTTTCGGTTCCGGTTCGCGTTTTTTCTAAACCCGGCTCGATTCGGCCCATGGGGACACTATGAATAACCTAGTTACACACGTATCCACTTGATTCACAGACAATCACTTCATAGGCACCACATTTCACCGACAATTATTCATCGACAAGTTCATTTTACTGGCGGTCTATTTCACCGAAGCTCATTTCATCGACAAATTTTTTTATAAATTACACTAACTTTAACGCTAATTCTAACTCTAATTATATTGACCAGAATTACTTTGTCTGTAAAATGAGCTTCGATGAAATAAACCGTCGGTAAAATGAACTTGTCGGTAAATGTTTGTCTGTGAAATGTTGGTAATGATTGTCGATTGATCGGATCCTGTTACACTCACGGGTTCATATTTAAATCCCATGCCTTCGGCACGGAATATGAACCCGTGTGTAACTGGGTTATTCACACATACTCATACAATAACTATAAATTAAATTTCTTTCTTATTACCATTCATGCGCAGATTTACTGTATATATGGAATAATTTACGCATTCATGCGCAGATTGAATTTAATTACACACATTATACAATTTAGTCATGCCTGATCTGTGTAATACTGTGTTGTAACATAATTAACTGGTCGACTTATATTCTACACGTGATTATCATTTGAAGGAATTATTACTTACTGAATTGGGAGCTCTTTTATCGTTTATAAATATAAGCTACGATCAATAACATCTTAAAGTCTACAGGAAAAATTATAAAAATGTTTGAAATTTTGTTAGAAAATATTTATGCTCAATTATTAATCGTAGGATTAACTTTAGCATCAGTTTATTTCCAATTAAAGGGGAGCCGAATTAAACTAGTAAGTTTATTCCTATATTATATTTAATCACAATTTTCACTAATATAAATGTTAACTTAGAACGAACCACCTATCGTTGATTATCAATATCCTATTATCGGACATACATGGAGTTTTACAACGAATTGTAAAAAGTTAATTTCAGAGTCACGTAAAAAGGTTTGCTTTTTCAATATTTTTCTTTCTTCACGTTTTATTATAATAATTTAAGATTTCTTAATAGTATGGCGAAACGTTTTCGTTATACATATTCGGTCAAGTAATTACTATAACAGGAAAGGAAATGGGTTTTGAGGTATTCAATAAACATAATGAGTTTAGTTTTTACAGGGGTACTGATACGGTTAGTAATTGAAAATTTTCTAGCGAATGTAGTAAATTTATTATAATATTATAAATTTTAATTATTCATTTAATTTGAAAACAGCATTTGGTGATGGATTATGTACTTCCCTACGCCGCGATGAATATTGATAAAACTGCTAAAATATTTAGAACCTTTTTCAAAAGGAACATAGGCAATATTACGGATCTTTTACAACAAAATATTTCTAATTCTATTGAAAACTATATTGGCGAATGCGTTGGTATGCTCATAAGCTTTAATAATAAATTGTAATTTTCATTCATTTTAAAAGAAATGTTTAATTACTATAGAACCGAAGGTCATTAGTATTCCATATAATGTTTTTTTAAAAATTTTTTCGAGAGTATCTACGAATATTATTATCGATGATGTATGTATTGTTTTTTTTTTCATTTTTTTTTATTTATTTATTTTTTTTAGGTAAAATTCCTTCGTATTATTAACTTAGTTATTATTATAAAAAACATTAGGAATGCTCTCAATATGAGGAAGTTATAGATCTCTTTGAAAACTTTACTAATTTAGTTGTATCAGTTTTTTTTGCA